GCAACGATTAATCTCTTCCCTGTCTTCAAATGTCACCCATTCCAGCCGGAACTAGAACACGCAGCCTTTTCAGATGTGCCTCGACACTTACCAACATGCATGTCCGGTTCCTATGTCTTTTTGTGACCTGATAGCGCCTTTCCGTTGAGTCTCGTTCCGTTGTGTGGAATGGATCTTCTCTCCTTTGGATTATTCCTGTACCCCCGCCCTTCCCCAGAGCTTCCACCCACTCTGTCCTCCCAGCTCTGTACCCAAATGCGGCCTTTCTGTCTTGGCCTTTCTGTCTGCTCCCTTCCCCAGAGCCTCCACCCACTCTGTCCTCCCAGCTCTGTACCCAAACGTGGCCTTTCTGTCTTGGCCTTTCTGTCTGCTTCCTCCCTCCCTCCCTCCGCCTTCTATTCTAGTTTCTCCTGACTCCCAGGTTGTCTGAGAAGGGGTCTAACTGGGAAGGACTTTGTTGGGGGAGCCGAGGGGGGTCCCCTGATGCTGGACTGGGCTTCTGGCTGGGGATGGCGAAGGGGTTAAGTGCCGGAAAACTCTCAGAGCCGGGCAGGCGCCAAGTGGAGCCTGTGGCATTCCCCCTGCTTTCCTATCTTAGACATACCACAGGTGGCCGGCCCTCTTTTCCTGGCCCTAATGGAACTTCTACCCTCCTGTCCATTGTCCTCCAGGAGATCTGAGATCAGAGGCAACTCTGTTCTCTTTCTATACAGGGGACAGCCCTGGCTATCAGTTCTGCAGGCACCAGCCCCACCTCTTTCTGTCAACTGGTTTAGCAGGGGTGAAGCAGAGGGCAGCTAGAAACCCTTCTGAGCCTCAAATAATGGAGCCCAAGCTATGACTCCCTCCCTGCTGCTCCAGGAAGGACGGGGGAGCAAAACAGGCTCGGCCCTTCATGGACGACTTATTCTTCTGGAGAGGGGACCAGGATGTCTTCTGTGCATTTCTTTGGTTGAGACGTCAGAGTTCTCCTCCAGGCAGACGCCATCACCATGTGGAGGGAGTGAGAGACCTTACTCCTGGGTTTTCTGTCCCAGCGTCTGTATTTTGCCTGGTGTGGCCTAAGTCTCCATCAACTGTGGGTGGGGAGGGGAGAACGGTTCATCTGAGCCCGCCATAGGGTTTGTTTTCAGTGGAAAGGAATGAATGACTTCAGCACCACTCACTTTTCTAAAACTGAGTTCCCATTTTCAGATAATCCCTGCCCACGCTTATTGACTCCTTCTGTTCTAAGCATGTCATACTTTTAACTCCTTTAATCTTCAGAAGAGTTCAATGAATGTGGTCCTATTACTTTCTTCTGTTCCTTTTCCACACAAGGTATGGGGAAGATGACCAGGCTGGGGCCATACCACTAGAGTGCCTGCCTGCCTGCCAGTGTTGCCCTTTTCCCAGCATGCTCTACACCCGAAGGCTGAGTGCATCTGCCTGGCCTCAGTTGGATGTAAACTCTTACACCCACAGACAGAGTGGGTGGCACTTCTCCTCTGAGGATCCCAGGAGTGGTGTCATGGGTCAGGGGCCACATGCCTGGAGCTTGGAGCTGGCAGACCCGGCTTCTGTCCCTGCTTTCTGTGTCCTGGCTGCTGGACCCTACATGTTCAACTTGTCCGACCATGTCCCAGTTTTCTTACCTGTTAAATGAGGCCCTAATCCCTCTCAGAGGGTTGTGAAAAATAAACAACATCTGTGCAACTTTCAGGACAATGTCTGACTGCAGAGCCAGTCACACAACTTCAGAGAGCCATTCATTTTAAATGCCCTGACACATCATAAGGACTCACCTAATCGCAGAATTTTTTGAAATTATTTTTAGGCCGGGTGTGTGACTCACGCCTATAATGACAGCACTTTGGAGGCCGAGGCAAGAGGATTGC